ATTCCTTATTGGTCAAATTAAGCTCAAAACAACGTGACCATGCCTTAACTATACGAAAGCACAGATTAGTCATACGAAGAAGGACGGGTGAAGCGGAATGGCTACTTTGTAGCGATGAGAGGTGGATGCAATATGAAGTTGAGATATATTTTTATATCCGGAGCAAGATACAACTAGCTAATTAACTGACAACTTAAGTAACTAACTAATAGAAGTTTGGCTGATTGAATTGACGTCAGAATAAGACAAGACAAGCAGACAAATTGGGATATCGATAGTAAAAAGCATAAAAACATAAAGACATAGACAAGCAGAATGGCCAACCGAGCAATACATTTGTATTAGTGGACGGAAACAAGGAAGATGGTGGAGAGGGGGGAGGGTTTAATTACGGATGTGGGAGAGAAAATGTTTTTGCTAACCCAACCAGTGTAAAGAGTAACTTGGGAAAGGGACTATGTAAACTTCTCCTTGAGCTTATACAAGAAGCCGCTGAGACGGTGCTTCTTCTTTCTGTCATGCTCCTCGGTGTGCGCTGCTGTGCCATTCTGGACTGAAGAGTCGCCTTTGCTGGCACCTGCTGTAGCGGTGGCCGTGGTTTGAGGCTCAACTGCTTTCCGTTCAGGAACACCTGAGGTTGTAGGGACGTTGGTTGTAACAGGGCCGGTGGTGACTTGTGGAGTCTCCTTGGGTGCATCGGGGACCTGGGAGGCGGTGGTTCCTTTGGTGATAGGGCCGTCGTTGTTAGAACCTCCAGCTGGGACATCCGGTGTATGGGATTTGGGTGAGATGTCTCCAGTTCCAGCTCCAGCTCCAGTCCCTGGATGGAGGGTGTCTTGCTTCGAAACCGGATCAGTGGTGGTAGGTGCTGGGGCGGTGGAAGCAGTAGTGGCTGATGTGGTGGGAGCAGGCTGGCCGCTACCTGTGGCTTGTGGCACTTCCTTGAGAAGTTCTCTTTCGAGGTCTTCCTTCTCCTTGACCATCTCGGGAATACAAGCGGCTTCGGGATCGGTGTGAGCCTTGTGCATCGACTCCTTGACGATGTCCGGGACCTCCTTGGCGGGCACCTCGGGGTCGTACTTCTGGCCAGCAGCAGTAGTCATGAAGGAAGAGCCGGCTGGCCTTTCCAGGGGTACAGTACCGGCTAGGGCAGCGGTGGTGGCAACGGGAGCGGCTGAGGAGATGGCAGGGTTGTCATTAGGGCCAACAGACTTAGCCTTGGGCTCAGTGCCGATTGGGAGGGCTGAGTAGGTGTTCTTCTGGTCGTGCTTGTGCTGCTCAGCTGCCATGGCAGCCATGGCGGGGTCGCTAGCATCCTTCTCGTAGCTTTCCTTGTCAGTAGTGACGTTTGAGCCAAGGGTGTTGGGAGTAACCTTGTCTGAGCTTGAGGGGTTTCCAACGGTTCCGGTGGCAGGGAGCGGGCTAACAGAGAATTGTTGCTGGTCTTCAGGGCTCTCGACCTGCTTCTTCTCCTCGCTTCCTCCTGCAGCAGCCGCAGCCATGGCAGCCATGGCTGGATCACTGGCATCCTTCTCATAGCTTTCTTTATCGGTGGTAACATTTGAGCCAATCGTGTTGGAGGTGACGTCGCCCGACTTCGGAAGCTGTTCACCCGGTGCGACCTTGACCGGGTTTCCAACGGTGCCAGTAGCAGGTAGAGGGTTAACGGAGAACTGTTGCTGGTCATCACCACTGTCGACCTGCTTCTTCTTCTCCTCGCTCCCTCCAGCTGCCGCCGCTGCGGCCATGGCAGCCATGGCAGGATCACTGGCATCCTTTTCGTAGCTCTCCTTGTCGGTGGTTACGTTGCTGCCTAGGTCCTTGGAGGTGACATTGTTGGTCGAATCTGACACTTTCTCGCCAGAAGGGTTTCCAACGGTGCCAGTAGCGGGTAGAGGGCTAACGGAGACTGTTGTTGGTCTTCACCA